GGTTATATGAAGAAAAATGTGGCATCAGGATTGGAGGAAGACTCATTAACAACCTGCGATATGCAGGTGATACAACATTGTTTGCTGAAAGTGCTTCATTGACTATGCAAAGGCTTTCTACAACTATGGACAATATTGTGGAGAATTTGCATTCTGGTACATTTAATTGTGCTAATGATGAAGCTGTACATAAACCAAGAGGCAGGTGTTCAAATGGAAAATAGAGCACTGAATGGTTTAAAATTAGGAACGGTTTGCTCCAGGGTGTTATTCTTTCATCATACTTATTTAATGTGCTGTTGTTGTTGTTAAGTGCCGTAGAGTCCGTTCCAACCCATAGTGACCTTGTATAGCATTCCCAAGGAACAGCTGATGAGCTTGAACTGCTGACCTTTTGGTTCAAACCGACATTGCAGTCCAGCTCACTAATTCACAGAGCCACACTTGGACTTCATTAGATCTGTATGCTGAGCAAATAATCCGAGAAACTAGATTATTTGAAGGAAAACAACCTGGGATATGCAGATGATACAACCCTGCTTGCTGAAACTAGAGAGGACTTAAAATACATACTGATGAAGATCACAGACCAAGGCAATCGGTATGGGTTGTACCTCAATGTAAAGAAAACAAAAATCCTCATAACTGGAACAATAAACAACATCATAAATAGAGAAAAAATTGAAGTTGCCAAATATTCCATTTTGCTTGGACCCACTACCAACACTCATGAAAGCAGCAGTGAAGAAATCAAAGACATATTGCATTAGGCAAATCTGTTGCACAAGACCTCTTTAAAGTGTTCAGGTGAGCAAAGGTGTCAGTTTGAGGACTAAGGTGTGCCTGACCCAAGTCATGGCATTTTCAATAACCTCATATGCATGCGAAAGTTGGACAATGAATAAGAAAGACCATAGAAAATTTGAGTTATGGTGTTGGAGATGAATAACAAAAGTATCATGGACTACCAGAAGAACAAACAAATCTGTGTTGGAAGAAATACAGCCAGAGTGCTCCTTAGAAGCCCAGATGGCGAGACTTTATCTCTCATACTTTGGACATATTATCGGAGGAACTAGTCATTGGAGAAGGACATCAAGCTTGGTAAAGTGGTGGTGGTGGTAGTTATGTGCTGTGGAGTCGGTTCCAACTCATAGTGACCCTGCATAGGGTTTCCCAGGCTGTAAATCTTTATGGGAGCAGAAAGCTTCATCTGGCTCCCAAGAAGCAGCTGGGGAGTTCGAACTGCTACCTTCTGATTAGCAGTCCAGTGCTTATGCTACAGTAGCACCAGAACTCTTGTACTTAATATGTTGTTGTTGTTGTTGAGTGCGGTCGAGTTGGTTCCAACTCATAGCGACCCAGTGTAGGATTTCCAAGGAGCAGATGGTAGGTTTGAACTGTTGACCTTGTAGTTTGCAGCCCAGTGCTGATCATACAGCGCCACACTAGGAGTGCATTTAATTGTTTGTTGTTCGTTGTTAAGTGCCATCAACTCAGTGCTGACCCATAGCGACCCTGTATAGGGTTTCCAAGGAGCAGTGGATGAGCTTCAACCACCAACCTTGTGGTTCAAACTGATCTTGTAGTTCAGCACATTAGCCCACGGCACCACACCAGTACTTAATATGTTGTTGTTGTTAAGTGCTGTTGAGTTGGTTCCAACCCATAATGACCGTGTACAGAGTTTCCAAGAAGTGTTTGGTGAATTTGAATCGCCGGCCTTGCAGTTCAAACTGACATTGTAGTTCAATTCATTAGTCCACAGTGCCACACCAGTACTACAGGACTTAATATAAACATACTAAAATCACTGGCTTCTCACCTGAACCTATATAATTCCTTCTTTAAAGAAGTTTTCAAGACAAGCTTTTTGGGGAACTCGTCAGGAAAAGCTCTGAGCTGATTCTAGTTTGTGGTTTATTATGCAATTACGATGTTTTCAGTTACCATCAAGTTATATACAGATGACAACTCATGGAGACCTATGTACAACAGAACACAGTGGTGTCTGGTCTTACAGCATCTTCAAAATCATTCGTCTGCTCGAGTTCTGAGTTTCAGCCACTGTGTATTCTGAGTGCCTTCAAAACTAGGGGGCCCACTTTCCAGCCCCATCAGGATAATGCACTGGACCACAAGGTCGGTGGTTCAAAACTACCAGCTGCTCCTCAGGAACAACAGGGTTGTTGAGTCCAAATCGACTCGATGGCACTTTAACAAGAACATATTGGGCAAAATTTTCTTTTGATGCAGTTCTCATTTGCTAATTTTCAGTAGATTGCCAAGTCCTTCCTCCTAGTCTTAGTTAAAAAGCTCTCCTGAAAGCTACCCACCATGGGTGACCCTGCTGATGTTTTAAATACCTGTGGCAATACGATAGGCTGACAGAGTGGAGGAACACAGTGTAAAAACGGACTCTTGATAAAACTTGCTGAGTTGGGTCTTAACTTAATATCCTTTAGCTCCACCTTCTCCATGTTGGAGAAGAATGAGAACTATTTCAAGGAGTTAACAACAACAGAATCTTATTTGAGAAAGAAAAGACCAAATCACAAAATGTTCATACACAAGATGTTTATTATCACACTGAAAGGTTCATAATGCACCTTAGTTTCCAATTATGAGACTGAATGCTATAAAACTGCTAGTTTTGTAAAATTTTTTTAAAAAAGGGTACATTAATAGCAATTTCATGTGGCTCAACCCACTGTATAATGAGTCGATGGCTAAGATTTCTTTCAACAACAAACTGTTCCTATTTCCCCATCTGTTTGTTATACACAGATGTCCAAGTGATAAATAGGGCCTACTTAAGAAACACATGTCATGCAGAAATATACCGGAAGTTGTCTTTTGTGGCCATTTACTCTTCTCAGTTTGCTCTATCACCCCATTACGTGGTCTTATTACATGGACAATTCTTGAGAGATGAGAACGTCACAGCAGAGATTGAAGTTGTCTGTCCAAAGCTACGTGGTTGTTGTTAAGTGCTGTTGAATCACTTCTGACTCATAGCGACCCTGTATAGGGTTTCCAAGGAGCAGCTGGTGGATTTGAACTGCTGACCTTGCGGTTAGCAGTCCCATGCTGATCCTACAGTGCCAGGAGTCCTGACAAAGGCTATATACTGCTGGTGAAACCAGTCCAATTTTGAAACCAGTTAGATTGGATTGCTTATTCAAGGTCAAGAACAGAATAGCTGGCCCAGAAGCAACTCTGAGCCAAATATAAATGTCTTCAACCAAACAAAATAGTTTCTTCAAGTGAATGATTCTGATGCATTCTCGTTCACCTTTGTTTACCCTTTTTGCCCCTAGGCAATCTGTGTCCAAGGAAATTACAAAACGGCCTCATAGTCAGCAAAAAGGAGCAGTATGGTGAAGCTTTCAAAAGTTCATAGAAAAAGAGAAGGAAAAGAGAATGGAATTTTTCCATGAACTTTTAGAAGCCCATTTGTATGTGTCTCCAGAGTCTGTAGGTTAGTGCAAGCTGCTGATGTGGTTCAGCTACTAACCAAAAAGTTGGAACTTTGAGCCTACTCCGAGGTGCCTCCAAAGAAAATACTGGCACTCTGCTTCTGAAAAGCCATTGAAAAGCCTATAGAACTTAGTTCTACTGATGGGGTGAGGGGGCAGGGAAGTATGTTATCCAGATAGTCCAAGACACGACCAATGAACAATGATGGGACAAGCCATGCTTCATTTATGTTCAAGAGATTTAATAAAGATCCCCCCACCCCCACCCGGAACCTTCAGCTCTTTTACAATATGTGTAACTTGACATGGAGCTGAGATAAAAATAAAGCTTTCTTACAAATTACATTTTTTTTTCCAGTGAATTACTTTTGCAGTAAAAATAGCTGCTACATAAATCCCTCCTGATCTCTGAAAAGGAGTTGCATGTTTCCAAAAATAGTATTCTTATTTTAATCATACAGAGTAACAGGGGGCAGAGGGGGGAGATGGCAGGTCAGGAAGAGGTACGTTGGGGAAACATAGTCAAACTGAAAAATAAAATTAAGTTTTGTGTATAAACTGATTTAAAGACATGCGTAGACGTGAAAAACATATGCCATTTGTCAAGAAAAATACTGCTTTATAACTATTTACTTTTACATTACAATTAAAGAAGAAACCACAAAGAGGCCAGATGTGTCCCCAGAAAATTTCTTGTCAAGTCCCAAAGGTACAAAGTCCTTGCCAGGTAATAACAGAGGCACACAAAACAAGGGGGATTAACCTTTCTTCTATTCCTTATTCCTGTAGGTATACTGAATGTAACTAGTGTGCATCTTACAATTTCTCTTAGCCCCTGAAGAAGGTAGACTTTGTAAAACCCTGTGTGTGCTATTGTAAAATGGAATAAACATCGGATGCCTGTATTCTTCTTTCAAATAGTTATATAATTACTTTAAATTACAATATACAATTTCTGTTAAATAGGACTGGTAGAGGATTTTGATAACAATTATACGATTACAATAATATATACAAACTAACTTCTGAAATGGCATGATTCTCTCCTTCCCACCCTCTTAACCCTCTGAGCAAAGAGAAACACTTTCGTATTTCTATTCCTTGTTGCAAAAGGCAAAAAAAAAACCCCAAAAAACAAATGTGTGTTTGTGCACGCACAGCATGCTTTTTCCTTGAAAAATATAATATAGCTGCACAACCCAGTCACACACGGCCTGCTTCGAGCTCACGTGGCTTCCAGAGCTTCTTTCCTGACCATCTTAATTTAGTTGCATCATAAATAGTGTTATTATGTCGGCAGACCTTGGAAGCAAGGAACCCTGCCGCCTTCCACAAAGCTGAACAAGATGGCCTGGCTGGAGAACCCAGGTTTCAGAGTCAACAAGACCATTGCTTCTTGGTGATGTTATTCCTGGACATATTAAATCCCTTCTGCTCAAGGTCCCTGGAGCGGCGGTCGGGACGGGCTTCCCATCGCAGTCACACGGGGCCGGGGCCCGCTCAGGCAGTCTGGCCGGGGCCTCAGTCCTCTGTGTCGGGCTGCACACCCAGGATGGCATGAAGCTCCTCTGGCGTGAAGCCAAGCAAGTTCTGGAGGTCACACACAAAGCGGTACACGTAGCGCTTCCCTGACGTCTTGTGGATGATGTTCTTGTCGTAATAGTAGCGAAGACCTCGGCTCAGCTTCTCGTAGTTCATCTTTGGCTTATTTTTTCTCTTCCCCCAACGCCGGGCCACCTTTGGTAGAGAGAGACAGAAAAGCATTAAAAAGAGATTCTGAGTTAGTCAACTGAGAAAACACGAAGGATGCTCCTCCAAATTATGACTCAAATGCACGGGTGGGTACCATAGAAATCTGACCACAACAGAATACCGAGAGAAGCACAATCTGTTTTAAGACCAGGGTCATGGTGTTCCTCATTTAAGAAAGTGCTGGGTCCCTGGAGGGGCACACAGCACCATTCCTGGGCTGTGAGGCATCTCGTGCTTGTAATCAAGAGAGCCCCACCTCCCGGGTTCTTATCCCTACAGGAACAGTTAACAGCTGCTGAGTGGGGACCCGAGCCATGTGATGTGACCAAACCTCAATGTTCCTGTTTCCCAAAGGTTTCGTGGAGGTGACAGAAATGAAAGACCTTCCTTAATTCTGTCCTGGAGCTCCCCTCAGCCTTCCACCCCCAGACAAGGCACCTGGCTCCAACCCACCAGGGCTGCTTCTAGCTAAGTAAGGAGCCAGGAAGCCAATCCAGATGTTACCCCACATGGAAAACACATTTTCAGATGGACCAGAGAAAGCCTCAGCTTACAGCTTGGGCTGTTTTATCAACAACAGGGCAAGACAGTGCTGTCTGCCCTGTACCCATGTGCATACCCAGGAACGCTATTGATGCTCATCAACAAACTGGGGAGTCCTTGTCCTTGTCTCAACAATCTGAATTGTCCAGGTAGAAATACTCCTGCTTGTATGGTGAACACTTTGCAGTGTCCTAACGTTTGAACCTAACAGGATGCAGTCAGGGTTCAAAGCCCAGAGGTTTCCCAGGCCTGATCTTACCTCATCGGGGTCAGCAAGCTTAAATTCCCATCCGTTCCCCGTCCAGCTGATGAATGGCTGGCAAGACTTGTCCGAGAGTAACTCCAAGAGAAACTGCCACAGCTGAATAGGTCCACTTCCTGGGAAGGAGAGAGGTAGGTTGCACATTTTTATACATTTAAAATACAGCAAGGCTCCTCCTGCCAACTCCAACTCATGGTGAGTCCATGTGTGCGGTTTTCAGGAATGGCTCACTAGGCCTATTTTCTGAGGTATCTCTGGCGGGTTCCAAAACCACTAACCTTCTAACAAGTAATCTACTATTTGAACTATGACCCCCAGGGACTCTGGACAGCATGGCTTTAGTCATCCTAGTCTGTTGTTGGTTGCCATTGAATTGATTCATACCTATAGCGAGCCCATGTGAGTTTTACAGTGGATCACACCAAGCTGTTGGGAGTGTTCGAACCACCAATCTTTAGGTTAGTAGCCAAGCACATAACTTTTTGTGCCACCAGGGCTCCTTGTTGTGGTTAAGTGCCATCAATCCATAGCAGCCCTGTATAGGATTTCTGAGGAGCAGCTAGTGCACTTGAGCCCGACTTTGTAGTTCAGACTGACTTTGCAAGTCCAGCGCATTAGTCCACAGCGCCACCCCAGGACTATAACTTAAGTCATCTGAATCAAACAAGCTGACTGAAGACTGTAGAACCAATTCTCTGAACTGAATTCCAACATGAAGGTGCAACTCAAGGTGTTGGTGTCATAATGGATGAGTATGGACACCAAATATGAGATTTCCTCAGCACTTCCTACTCCTGAAGGCCACTCAGCTGAAACTCCCTTGATTGTTGGGTTTGGTCTTTTTGGAAAACTTTAGGGCAAGCAACTTCTACTTGACAACCTATGTCAAAGCCTTCATAGTTTATTTCTAGAAACACAAGGGGGGAGGGGCGGGGGAAGGCAGAGTGAGGCACAGCTATGGTGGTTCCCGTCTGCTTTATTTATGGATTGAACTTTTCAAATTTACTCAACCACCACAAAACTGGATTTACTCAGCAGCCAACAGTGGCAATATCCATTGCTTCATAGTATTTGCTATGCAAAATGTGGTTTGGGAAGCTTCAGCTAGTCCTATTTTAAATATGAGGAACAAAATGTACCTCAAAGACCAAGTGCCTTGCCCAGGGTCACACACCTATCAATGCAGGGTGAGAGAAACTGAGCTTGCCAACTCAAACCCCACTCTCTTTGTGCCACTCCCTAAAACCCGATGGTTCTCATCCATGAAGTGCTGTAAACAGAGCACAAAATGATAGGCAGTCTGAAACCAGTCAGCTAGGTGACCAGGGTGATCACGGGAAAACAGTTTACCTCTGAGTCAATTTCCCCATCTGTAAAATGGGTGAATTACCGCTGCCCTTGAGTGAGTCCTTGGGTGGTGTAAATGGTTAAGTGCTTAGTTGCTAATAGAAAAGCCTGGAAATGTACTCCCCAAAACTAACCACTGAAAACTACAAGTACAATTCTACTCTGATACACACGGGGTCGCCACACTAGGCGCTGACTGGCTGGATTTTGTTTTGTAGGGTTATTTTGGTGTTTTGTTTTATTTTTTTTGGGTTGGCAGTCAACAAATGGTAACCCATTTTACTGTAAAAATGAAAGGAATTCTGTTTATTCTCAGAACTGGGGTCTGAATCCAGTGCTGGAAAGTTATGTCAGTTTCCATACATCTTAGCTTGTATTTAATACATTTAAAGGTTGTCTGGAATAAATACATAATCAGGATGCCTAAGAATTCTGACTTGTAACCCGTCAAATTATGTTAAGGAGGGTTTTTTTTTTTTTTAATCCACAATGGCTCCATTTGGTCAAAATATGGGAGAAGAAGAAGAAAAGAAGTATATTTAAGGACACAAGATGCAATGAAAATAGTCTCCACATTTTTGCTTAAGTCCTGGAAACATTTGGCTGCAAAAACAGCTTTAATATTTGTCTTTTGCCTAGAATAGCCTAGAACAGCCCTTACCTAAATCTTTAAAAATAAAATTTTAGAAGAAAAGGTAAACAGTCCCTATGTTCCTAGAGGTGGGTTCGGTGGCCCCTCCCTGACTGATGCAGCCCCAGCCTAAGTCGATGTAGGTCTTTGACATTTCTGGAGCCAATGAGTCACCAGCAAAGGACTCCACAGGCCCAGTGTCCCCAGTACACCCCACTGAGCTTCATGTATACGAAAACCCCTACACTGCTGCCACGTGTAGAATTCAGGGATACAGCCAGCCAAGCACAGAACATGGAGGGTAAATACCAGAGTGCGTACACTAGAACCACCCTTGCTAAACATGACACTCAGCAGCTCTCGGGTTCACAGAGGAGGCCAACAAGCAGTTGGCCAGCATGGTCACACTCACCTGTAAAGCCAGCCAGCACAGCTGCAGGTATAACTGGTTTGCCCTGCTCCACTGGGTCGCTCCTCTCCTGGATGTAGTCCTTGAACGACATGGTTGGCTTGTTGAGGCCCAGGGGCTGACTACAGTCGTCCTCGAAGCTCTCGAAGGAAGGTACCCGCTGCACGTCAATCAAGGACGACTGACTGTTCCAGGACTTCAGCAGCGAGTCTGAGCTCTCAAAGCTGTCTGTGCCGCTCTCTGAAGAGTCGTGATCTCTGGGCTTACCTGGTACAGAAAGACAACCAAGCACATACTTTGAGTCCTACAGGGGCAATGAATGAGACCAACGTCATTGATGAAAAACTCCAGGTTCAACAGCACCATCGGTACCAACAACCCACGTAACTGCATACTCTGTGGGTATAGAATCACTCAGAGACTCTCACATTGAGTTTATCTCCAGGTGCTTAATCTTTCTGATAAACACACAAATCACACCATCTTCTAACACCACCACCCAACTCACAGGAACCCTTTATAAGGTTTCTGAAGACTGTAAATCTGTACAATAGCAGATAGCCTCATCTTTCTCCCACTGGGCAGCTTGTACGTTTGAACCGCTGACTTTGTGGTTAGCAACTCAACACCTAACCCACAGTGCCATTAGAGCTCTTTTCCATCAACAACAGTAGAATGGATAAATTGCTGCTTCATATAATGGAATACTATACAGCACTTAGGAGCTCTGGTAGCGTAGTGGTTATGAATCAGGCTGCTAACCTCAGCGTCAGCAGTTTGAAACTACCAGCTGTTCCATGATCTTTATGAGTCGCTATGAGTCAGAAATGACTCCACGGCACATAACAACATACAGCACTTAACAAAACAATACAGCAATGAGAAGTGCGGTGGCTCTGTTGATCAGAACTTCGAACCCACCAGATGCTCTGAGAGAAAAGATGAGGCTTTCTGCTTCTGTAAAGAATTATAGCCTCAGAAAGCCTTCACAGGGTCTCTATGAGTCAGAACAAACTCAATGGCTCAATGATAAAATTCTTGCTTTCCAGGAGCCTTGTGTGGCGCTATAGGATAAGTAGTGGACTCCTAACCACAAGGTTGGCAGTTCAAACCTACCAGCTACTCCTCAGAAACCCTATATAGGGTCACTATGAGTTGAAACTGACTTGATTGCACTTAACAGTAACAGCATGAGCAAGATCCGGGTCTGATTTCAGGCCAATGTGTAGTCATCACCCATCTGTCAGTAGAAACTTTGTGATGATTCTGAAAAAGTGTCAGCAGATTCCTCACTAGACTACGAAGATGAACTAGGAAGAAAGACCTGGTGCTCTACTTGGGAAAATCAGTCAATGAAAACCTATGGATCTCAATAATCTGATCCCAAACTGATCATTGGGGTGGTGCAGAACTGGGTAGTGTTTCATTATGTTTTTATGCATGGTATCATTATGAGTAAGGGCGCTAACAATAAAGCTTACTGCAATGGAATACCATATAGCTACGAAAAAGGACACATTACTGCTCTATTCCAAAACACTGAAGATTCTTTGACTTAATCATGAGCAAAAGACAAGTACTAAAGAAAACAGTGTATGGTTCCATTTATATGAAGTTCAATAACAAATTTATGATGAAATAATCAGAATAATGGTCTCCTTTAGGGGTGGGATTAGGGGTATTGGCTGAGAAAAGGCATGCGGGAACCTTCCAGGGTGCCAGAAATGCAATAGCAACTAATAACATTTAAGTATATGTATGCATCCAAATTCAGTAGTGCATTTTATAATAGATTTCCATTATAAAAGCTTAATACATTCCCAGACTTGTTTCCACCAAACATTCCATCAGTAGAGGGTTTTAATCTCACAAGCAGGGACTCTCTTGTTCAGGGGTAGCCTCAATACCTGTACCAGTGCTGAGACACATTGCATGTCTGCTTGTTGAATGAACCAATTGTGTGTGTTAGTGAGTATAAGTCATTTAGGACATGGACAAGTACTCTGACCCCCTCTTCCAATGACTGAAAACAGGATGTCTTTATTAAGAAAAAGAACATTCATTTCACAACCTGGACAGCTCCCAGAATCAAACTGACAAGTCCTGTTTAAAGGAACAACCCTTGAATGCATCCAATCTTACCGGAATTGCTGGGAAGCAAATTCAAGTTGTTCGTCGGGAAGTCCTGGCTGACGGGACAGTAGTTGACACTAATGGTGCTGAGCCGAGTCTTGGGGTACAGCTGGAACTCCTGCTCTGAACTCAGAGCACTGGGCACATGAGAGGGCTGACACAAGTTGTCCAGCAGGCCACCTTTGGGGTAGTTCGGTGTTTGCATTCCATAGGGCACCTGCTCCATGCCCAAACCTACAACAATGCCATCGGACAGTTCTTAGTGAAGGCACACTTGGGAACTACTGAAGTCCTTTAAGCCCTCAGGTTGCACATTAAATCCTCCTCTTCTCAAATTATTTACTTCTCAACTAAATAACACTCTTGCAAAATGTCAGCTGTTTCTGGACCCAGAACTCAAATGCCACAGTGCTATGATTTCTACACCTGCATTCACGTGACCCTCAGGATGACAGGGGTCGCTGCCTCTTTGTGCTCCAAGGACATGAGTGATTTGCCAACACTGTATGGTTCGTGAGGAGCAAAGCTAAGCCTTGAAACCTCATTTCCTGATGTCAAGTCAAAGCTTCCGTCCTTCTCATTTATCACATTCCACATGAGTTCATAGGAGAATATCTAATTTTCTAGAAACTAAAGGAAGCTTTCTTACTTTGATCCCAGATCCCAGAAGGCTCCCACTGTGCTACATTTGGAAAGACTGCTGAGTAGGCTAACTGGTAAACATCAGGGCAGAGCAGTGCAGTGAGGAAGGTCGTCACCTGAACTGAATTGTTTACACTCGAGGCCTGAGCAGACTCAGAGAACTGGACCACCACCATTGAAGAACAAAATTCTAATGACACAGTTCTCAAATCATCCACTCCCCACACTGACTAGAGAGAAATACCCCTGAAGCTACTCTCATCAGCATCCAGAAAGAAGGCCTATGCACCAAGAACCTTCTGAAAACTTCAAAGCTCAAAGCAAATGGAGAATTGCTTTCTAAGCTGTGCCTGCCCCTCTTCGTTGCAATTTGTTATTGTTAGGTGCCACTGAGGTGCCTCTGTCTCAGAGTAACAGAGTAGAACATCCCCAAAGGGTTTTCTAGTCTATAATCTTTATATAGGAGCAGGTTTCAAGTCATTTCTCCCATGAAGGCACTGCTGTTGGTAAGTGCCGTCGAGTCAGTTCTGACTCATAATGACCTTGCATAGGGTTTCTGAGGAGCAGTTGATAGGTTTGAACTGCCGACCCTGTGGTTCTCAGGGTGCTGATCCTACAGTGCCCCACCAAGAGTCCACTGGGTAGGTTCAAATGGCCAAACTTTGCATTTGCAGTCTAGTAATGAACTATTGTGCCACCAGGGCCTCCTTCTTGGCAACACTGACTTCTTATCGGGTCATTAGCTTGCTTAATTCTGCTCCTCTCTCTGTGAATTGTCTAGACCAGCACTGACCAACAGAGAGATAATGTGACCCACATACACAACTTCATACTCCACAGCCACATTTAGGAAATAAAAAGAAATAATTGGAATTAATTTTAATAACTATTTTTTAACCTAAAATGTCAGAGAGCATCATTTCATATCCAATCAACACTCTTTATGCATTATTAAGGAGGTATTTTACATTTCCTGTTTCATACAAAGACTTCAAAATTGTACATTCAAATATCCTCACCTATACATATCAGTGTAAACCAGGCACATTTCAAGTACTTAATAGCTGGGTAGCGGCGTGGCTACAAAATGAAACTGCAATCCTAGGCTATTCGACTAGAGTTCAAATCGAATGGGATGTCTTAACAGCCAAGTTCATAAGAGCAGGATCAATGAGACTGACCTATTGAATTGCTATTAATCCAATGAGGAACTGAGTTGAGGTGTGAATTTTCTTCATATTGATCTTCTGTCTTTTCTTGGTTCTCTGAAAAACAGATACAAGAGACTTGAGACTAACTCTTGGCAAAAACTACACAAGAGGCAAAAAAGTCACTCTTTAAATTACTGTCCTCTGGTTTGTTTTAACTGACATGCAATTGTGGGCTTCCCATTTCATGCAATGGTATACCTCTTCATTTATACCTGCTCCTGATCACTATGACGTCTATTGCAAAAGTCGAGAGTCAGAAACACATTTTGCTAATAATCGGGACAATGTTTGTCGAAATAAATACTGTCACTGGAAAAGAAGGTAACTTTTCTATTGAATTTTCTGAAAGGTCTAGATTATATATAAAATGTATTCACTTTCTTTGAAAAATAGTTGAATATTTATGAAGTATTATCTGGACAAGGGGCTGAGAAAACTACATTAACAAGACAGACAGTTGTTGCCTCCCATGAAACTTATGACCCAGCGCTGCAAGTTTCTCAAGAGTGTGTGTGACAAGCATGACAAAAAGAGAAATAGATGGTTCTGAGCCTTTGAAAGGGAAAAGGTTGGCCTCACTGTGTACATTTACTTAACTAAAAAACATCTAACCACATACACACCCATAAACCCAATCACACAAACTTTCACCCCTGACTAACGGCAAAACATACCCAATTTGCTAATAATCAGATTCAGCAGAAACTTGTCAGATAACACCTGTTCAAGTTCAGAGAAAATTTGAGGTTTTTAAAAATAAGAAAAAAAAATTTTGTATTTGTATTTCTGAGCTCTGGAGGCCATGAAAACAAAGAACTGGTGCTTGGGTTCCTCGGGTCCCTAAGAATCAGTCTACTGTAGCCAGACACTTGGTGTGTTCAAGACTAATTCAGTGAGGGGCTGTTGTACCATCGAGTCTGTTCTGACCCATAGGGACCCTGTATAGGGTTTCCAAGGAGGGGCTGGTGAGCTTGAACCTTCAATCTTGCAGTCTGACATATTAACCCACAGCACCACACCATTCCCTGAAATCTACAAATGTGTGAATATTCTAATTTTTTAAACAAAATGATCTATCACTGTAACTTTAACTCTATGTATTTTTTTTAACGTTGATCTCACTGCTGTTTTAGAGTCCAAATCAAGATTTTCTCTATATTTAGTGAGATTTCTACAGTGAGATTCAATAATATGTCAAAATATTTATAAACAAGCCAATGACTTATATATTTGCTTAAAAATATAACAAAAATAAATTTGGATTCCACTTGGACTAAGAAAATGTACTTTGAAATTTGGAGTTCACCTGAATAAAACAAAGCCTTTCTTTGGGGTTGACTTGTTTCTTTCTGCTCTGTGCAGTGAGCCCACATTGATATGCCATGTACCTGAACCAGCATGTACTCCCATGACGAATGCAGTCTGGCAATCATGAATGAATGAGTGACTAAGGTGGCTGCCTTGTGGCTATACGTGATGCCATACACACAAACTTAAATGGAAGAGAATTCTATAACCCTTGCCATATATCTGACTCACTAGAGTGGTGTCTTCAGGCTTTACTTTGAATCGTTTAACTCGCCAAGCCCACAGCTGAAAAGCATGGATCCCTCGTCACTCTTCCCTGCCTCGTCTCACTCAGATGAGGAGAAACTAAGCCATTCATCTGGTACCTTTAATCATCTGCTCCAGATGTTCCCATAGAATGTCGCCCACAAAGTCAGGTGCCAGCTCCAGAAAGCGCTCCTTGCCAAGGTTGCACAAGACCTGGCCGGTCATGCCAAACCTCTGGAGGTTTACATTCACCAGACTGAACTCATTGGTAGCCCAAAGAAGCCACTGGCATACTTGCTGCTCGGTCCATAACCAAGGATCTACAAAGGAGGAAAGAAGCAATGGGACAAACAAAGGGAAAGTGAGAACAGAGTTAGCCTGATTAAATGCCTCAATGAAATGAGCGAAACACCATTAGACTATGTCTAAGGGAAATTCTATAATCACAAAGATTCCCTCTAATGAACTCCTGGTGTGGTACTGTAGGATCAGCATTGGACTGCAAACAATAGTCAGCAGTTCAAACCCACCAACTGCTCCTTGGAAACCCTAAACGGGGTCGCTGTGAGTCGGAACTGACTTAATGGCACTTAACAACAAAAATGAATATTAAATGAAAGTTGGATTACATGTTCAGCTGACTGTGTCAAAATTAAAGCTGGATCAGGTATATGCTACATATACCTGAACCAAGAACTCTGACAGCGTCGTGGTTACAAGTTGGGCTGCCAACCTCAAGGTCAGCATTTTGAACTATCAGCTGTTCTGAAGGAGAAAGATGAAGCTTTCTTCTCCCGTGAAGATTTACAGCCTCAGAAACCCTATGCGGGGTTGTTATGAGTAGGAACTGATTCCATGGCATATAACCAAGCAACCAATCAACCAAGTATATATATATACATATATATATATGCTATAAGGTGCTCTGGTAACGTAGTGGTTACGAATTGGGCTGTGAACAGCAAGGTCAGCAGTTCGAAACTACCAGCTGTTCCGCGGGACAAAGATGAGGCATTCTGCTCCCATAAAGATTTATAGCCTCGGAAACCCTGTACAGGGTCACTGTGAGTTGGAACTGACTCCATAGTACTTAGCAATATATATATATGCTACTCTTTGCAAGATGCTCTTCACAACAGTCCAAAAACTAAATCAAGCTCAATCAATTACTATCAAATTAGTTTGTCTAGGACAACAAAGATTCAGAAGAAAACCAAAATAGTTGCCACTGAGGTGACTGTGACTCGTGACAATCCCATGTATGTAGTAGAGTACAGCTGAGCTCTGTAGGGATTTCAAGGCCATGAACTTTTGGAAACAGATCGCCAGCTTTTTCTGCTAAGGAATTTGGGAGGGTTGGAACCACCAAGGTTTTAGTTAGTAACTGAGCACTTAAGCATTTGGGCCACCCCAATACGTAGAAAGAACAGCTCTAAAGGACAGCACTTACTCTTTGGGATACCTAGACGGCGCTGCTCCTTCTTGAAGCCACTGAAGGTAGCTTTTAAGGCTTGACTCATCACAGCCTTGCTGCATGGTGTTAACAGAGGCAATTCACAGTTGGTAGATTCTAGAGAGAAACCCCACGGGGTCATTAGTGCTTCAAGATGGCAATATCAAAGACAGGGACTACAGGTAAAACTTGTTTCCAGGAAAGAGCAATTTTGATCTCAAATATTAACACAATCCCTTAGAAGAGTATAAATAATAACAACAACACACATCACATTTTTGACTGGCATTGAGAAAATATTGTATCGCTTATAACCCCATTTATAAAAAAAGAAACATCTAAAATACATCAAGTTTCCTTTGGCAATCCTTCCTAAAGCAGTCATGCATAGAGAAAATTTCCATCCAAGTCTATTTTTTAAATTTTGTACAATGAAAGAAATCACATAGTGTTTGAGCAAAAAGGCTTAATGGATTGTAAATGCATTACCTGAAAGTTATTTCCATTAAACTAAACAAGTAAAGAGACTTCAAGCATGATAGGAAATATAACGCTTAACATCCAAAAAGAACGCTTGTTCAATAATAATAATAATAATAATAAAAAACCCCTCTGGATTTCCTCAGCAATTGCTAAATGATAAAACTGTCACACGACATGTGGATTATGAAAGCACATGTGTTTTAATTAATTTTCTGAGTTGTGTTTTCTAGCACCTACTTCATATGACAAAATAATCTCAGAAATGTTTACAATGAGTAACTATGCCATAGTAGCTACAGAGACGTCATGTGACATACTCAAAAGAATAAACAATGAAAAGAAATAGTACAAAAATAAATAGACATCAGCAGGAATTTGTGTTACCTCCAAAATTCCATGTGGGGATGATTTAACAAATGATGTGGTTTAAATTTTTACATCCCGTTTTGTGTCTGATTTGCCGAGTACACCAGGGAGAAAAAGACCCAGCCTCATGTAGTGTTGAAAGTATCAACAACAGGTATTTCTGCAGTTCACCCACAACTGAGCATTTGCTCTTACTTGGGTGTCTCTGGCATGTACAGACATCTCCAACATCATGTTCAGAAACAGAAAGCTGCCTATTCCCAGGTCCAGAGACTCAATTTGACTTTTTATACCAAAGAGTCAAGATATCAACATGAGTTATCATCTCTTTATTCACTGAACTATGTAGGGAAATCACACATATTTGTCAAGTCAGAGTGACAAATTACCATGAGAGATTGAATCCAAGCCTGTTGGCACTTCTTGGAGTGTTTGCTCTTCATTTAATGAGGGGAAAACAGCAAACAAGGACCCATCAAAAGTGTCAAAGGCAGGCTGGCGCTGTGAAAACAGATGGAAAAGAAAACTGAAATACAGTATTTTAATGCATTGACTTATTTTTAAAGTGGGCCACGGCTAACCTCAATGATATACCATGGTTAAGCTGGCAATTATAATCTATGGAATCAACCAATCAGTTCTCTACGTCGGTTTCTGAGAGAATCAGTGACAGAAACGATTCTATTTTTACTTTGGGATTCTTTAAGTACGATCAGAGTCAGAATGATTAGAAATATGTTTTAATGGCTTAATTTAAATTCATAAAGCAAACCTAAAATGAATACACTCTTAGAACAGGGTTGAGAGGAACCTCAGACACCAAAGTCCGAACTCTTGGTCCTCCCTCCAGCTAAACCATAAAAATCCATTTTAGTCTCTGTGCCTAAGAATCCTTTGGCAGGGCAGTCTGAACACACTGTGTGGTGGTTACAAATCGGGCTGCTAACCTCAGGGTTAGCAGTTCAAAACTATCAGCTGTTCCGTGGGAGAAAGATGAAGCTTTCTGCTCCCTTAGAGATTTACAGCCTCGGAAACCATATGCAAGGTCACTCTGAGTCGGAACTGACTCCACAGTACATAACCACCAACAACCACAGCTAAAATTTTTAAAAAGTAAATTATTAAATAAAAATTGAAAATGAAACCATGAAATACATTACTTTATCTTTGGAAGTATTTATTCTGAAATGTTTACCATGTAACACTTTTAACTGAAACTAAAGCTGTGTTTCCTCAATTTCAATAATGCAAACGCAGTAAGAAATTGGGAAAATTCCTTGAGGTTTAATTTTATGTAAGTGTATTAAAAAGAAATCCTCCTCCCAACATACACAGAGTTATTGTTGTTACGTGCCATCGAGTTGGTTCTGACTCATAGTGATCCTGTATAGGGTTTCCAAGGAGCAGCTGGTGGGTTTGAACCACTGACCTTATGGTTAGCAGTCCAGTAAGGGGAAAACAGCAAACAAGTACACACCAAAAGTGTCAAAGGCAGGCTTATCCTACAGCACCACACCAGGGCTTACACATACACACACACACACACACACACACACACACACGGATAATTATTAGTAAGAAAAACAGAAAACAACAGGTGCTGGCAAGGATGTGAAAAAAAAAAAAACAGTTCATCTATTGTTGGTGGGATTATGAAATGGTAGTCACTGTGAAAAAAGTCTGGCCAATCCTCAAAAAGTTAAAGATAGAATTATCAGATGACTGACCCAGCACTAGCATTCATAGGTATATACCCAAAAGAATTAAAATCAGGAAGGAAAACAGATACTTGTAATCCAATGTTCATTGCACATCATTAACACTCAAAACATACAGTCAAAATGCCCATCAGCAGATGAATGGGTCAACAAAATGTGGTATAGCCATCTAATGAACTATTACTCTGCCATAGAGAGAATGAAGCATTGATACATGCCACAACACGAACATGTTAAGTGAAACAAGTCAGTCACAAAAGGACAAATATTTTATGATCCCACTTACATGAAATACCACAACAAGCTAGTTCATAGAAACCAAAGTTTATTAGTGGTCACGTAGTCCGGGTGTGGCATGGTGAATAAAGCACTAGACCACAAGGTTGGTTTGAATCGTAAGGTTGGTGGTTCAAACTTGTCAGCCACTCCTTGGAAACCCTATATAGCATCAATATGAGTCTAAACCAACTTGACGGCACTTAACAACAACAACAGCAAAAGTGAGCGAAGGAGTCTTGGTGGGACCGTGGGTTAAGATTTGGGCTAAATGCAAGGTCAGTGGTTTAAACCCACCAGCTGCTCCATGGGAGGAAAATCAAGTGGTCTGCTTTCACAAAGACTGGAAACCCTAAGGAGAAGTTCTACCATCCTATAGGGTCGCTGTGAGTCAGAATCGACTCAGTGACAATGTGTATGGGTTTGGGATTAGACATGGGTGAGAGGGAGGCTGAAAGGAAGACACTGGGCCCCTATTAAGGGTGATAGAAAAACTCAGGAACAGTTAATAGTGCTGGTTAAACAACATGATGACTATAATTAAGTCACTGAAGGTTAATGACATGCGAAGATTATAGAAAGCGCAAACGTTTTGCTACCTATAAATTCAAACACACACACAAACCCAAAATCGGCTAAAGCGAAAGACTTCTAATGGAAACAGATTTAAAGTTAAACTATAGACAACTCAGGGGAAAGAACAGACACATGGAAAAATAAAAGCTCATTCTGTTTTACAATCTCATGCAACTTTTATGAAGGAACTTTCCTTTGGAGTATGTGTCATTCATAAGAATCAGATAGTCTTGATTCATCACTGTCTCACTTGTGGGAGAATAAAAAACGGCGAAAGAAAGGCTCTATTTTTCCAATATACACTGGAAATCCCATGTTACGTGTAATACAATGACATCTGTTGAGTCATCAACTTACAAAAAAAAAAAAAAGATGTAACACATTTACAAATAAAGATTCGTGTGCTCCCTTTTCAGAAAAGCAGAAGAAGGAGTGATGATGCATTGCAAAGAAAGGAAAGGAGAAGGTGGAACCAATCCAAAGAAGCCCAGACAATGACGTTCAACAGCCCAATATACCTCAATGAAACAAATGCAAAAGACTCAAATTTCAAACAGGACTCATTTTGGTGAAACAACCAATAGATGTTTTTAAATTCTCCAAAGCACTGCCCAGAAATGCTTTTAACAAGTATAATTCCTGGTGTTTTTTTGTTTGCTTGTTTTTTTAAACCAGAAGCCAAACAATAGAAATTTGTGCTGTATATTTCAACACATCTAATTCTACAGCAGAGTCCTGGTGTGGTGCTGTGGGCTAATGCGCTGGACTGCAAAGTCAGCTTGAATCACAATGTTAGCAGTTCAAGCTCACCACTGCTCCTTGGAAATCCTATACAGGGTCACTAGGGTCACTATGGGTCAAAACCAACTCAATGGCACGTAACAACAACAATTCTACAATGGTTATTTCTTCTCCAAGTCCAGAAATTGCATGTTGTTGCAGTTAAGTGCTGTGGAGTCGGTACTGACTCAAAGTGACCTTGTATAGGGTTTCCAAGGCTAAAAATCTTTGCAAGGCTGTAAAACTGCTGACCTTGTGGTTCAAAATCCGAAAGCTTCTCCTCTAAAGCAGAGGTAGAGAACATCCAACCCAAGGGCCATATAAGCCCGAGAAATCAGTTGCCTAGTCAAGGCAACCGAAGGCAGAACTCGGAATTCAATAAATCTAGCAGATTTTTTCCATAGCAGCATACATTTATATTAAATAATGTTATAAATATCCAAATGGCCCTTAGCAGAAAAAAGCTTCCCACCCCTGCTCTAGAGCCCTCGCACTCCCAGAACTTGCATGTTGTTGATGTTGTTGTTGTTAAATGCCATCGAGTCAGATCTAACTCATATGGACTCCGAGGAGCAGCTGGTGAGCTTGAACCGCCAACCTTTCTGCTAAAAACCAACTTGCAGACCAGTGCATTATTCTGCAGCACCACACCAGGACTCAGAAATTGCAATGTTGTTGGGAAGTGCTGTCGAGTCATAGGCACCATCAAATTATTTTATTTGACAGAAGCCCTATTCTTGGGGGTGTGGTCTTGAGTTCATACTATAATTTCTTCTGTAGTTTCTGCCTTCCGTAAAACATCTGACCAATTCAAACAAGTAAACTCACTAGCATGAAGACGAATGAAATTCATAATTGTAGAAAGGTCTGTGCCAAATTCCAACTCATAATGATATACAAAAAATATACAAGAAGTCTGAGAGAGATCATTATTATACAAGACAATAAGCTTTAAGGGAACTGGTCTTGAAAGTACTGATTTAGCAGCACAGTTACCATATAATGCTTAAAACAAATAACAATCAGATCTTAACATTTGGAGAAAACAAATGGGAAATGATGTTTGCGCTGCTGAAAAATGTTCCTAAAAGCAATTAGAAGAGAAGCTAGAAGGAATCTGTTTATGCAAAGAAGACTCTCATCTTTAATTTGTTTTAGGGGGTTATGTAAACAGATGCCCATGTTCTCTACTTCATGAAAAGGCTCCTTTGCTCCTTCTGATGTAGCAATGGGTCTGACTGCCTCTTCTAATTCTTTCATTTCATGTGAAGCAGCCTATCTGCCACCCAAGGAAGCTCTGGAGTGCCTAATAAAGACAGCAGAGTAAACCTCTCCAATTCTGTGCTATTGAGCATCATAGGATTTCCTTCCTTGAAATGAGCCTCAGAAATAAACTACCCCCATGTTAAATCGGTCCATACCTTGGAGAACAAATGGAGCAAGCAATAAGACACCACTTTAAAGACTAGGAAAACGAGGTTCAGAACGATTAGCCAAGAGTCCAGAGCCACACGTCAACAAATTAAAGAAACAAACAAACTAGACCCAGCCCATCATTCTTTGTCCTAAAGATTGAGTTTTCCAATTTTTTTTTTTTTTTTTTTAAAGACTTGATAACTCACCTTCAGTATCCCTCTGTAATTGTTAGACACCGGGGCCACCTGATCCATATTCTTGATTGCAAAATCATTCATCTTAAAAGAGAGAAAAGAGTCAAAAAGAAGTACAATTTAAAGAAGTCACCTTGGACAACATTAATACTTGATCTGGATGGGTCTGCCAATTTCCACCATCTATTGGTGATGGTAGTGATGGTGGTTGTGTGCTGTGGAGTCAGTTCTGACTCAGAGAGGCCCTGTATAGGGTTTAAGGAAGTTATAAATCTTTATGGGAACAGAAAGCCTCAACTTTCTTAGCAGAGTAGCTGGTAGATAGATTTGAACTGCTGACCTTGCGGTTAACAGCCCAACTCATAACCCATGTGCTACCAAGGCTCCTACAGTCTCCTTGTTCTTGTTGTTGTTGTTAAGTGCTATTGAGTCAGGTCCGACCCACAGCAGCCCTGTATAGGGTTTCTGAGGAGCATCTGGTGAATTTGAACCACAGACCTTGCAGTTCAAACCAAGCTTACAATTCAGTGCATTAACCCAAAGCATCATACACCAGGACTCCACAGCCTACTAGGGATCTCAAAATATAATGCCAGCAGTTCTTATTTGAAAGGTCTTTCCCTCAAACATTCCAAGTCAAAAACACTCCTCCAGACAACTGGGTATGCAACTTAGTTAAGTGAATTGTAATGTTGATTTCCGATTAATTCTATACCAAGATATGAGGAAACAAGAAGAGCTGGTAAAAGCACTTTCTGGCAGCCTTCCAAGGGAGTCTTACTGGGGTTGCTGAGACTGAGGACAGACTTTCCAAGGACAAGAGGGGAGGAGCTGTCTTGTGCTGCCATTCCACAGTCAGCTTGGGGCCTGGGCCTGGGTGAGCACACAGTGCCAATGTGTGAGCCTAAGGGCACCTGTGGAGGTGCCAACCCTGGAAGTTTCCAAGCAGATCAAGCAAAGACTGCTGGTAAAAGATTGCTCCCTCCTCCCCTAGCTAAGTTATGAGGAAGCACACACCCAGGAAGGGGAGAAAACAGAGAACCAACTGCTTCCAGTCCAAACGCTCTTACAATGCCCCAGAGCCTCTTGCTCTGGGAACACAATCTCAAAATATGTTCTGCTTTATATGTTGTTCAGCTATGCATTTCTACAAGAGGAAGTCATTCTGATAATGGTTCAGCTTTACTTGCTTCTTGTACACTAGGTCTGTGCTGTCCACCTCAGTAGCCACCAGCCACTTGTGGCTACTGGGCACTTAAAACTTGACTAATGTGAAATTGAGATGTGCTCTAGGTGTTACTAACCTAAAGGCTGGTGGTTTGAACTCACCCAGTGGCACCACTGAAGATCTGCGTCTGTAAAGATTATCAAGATTACTGCTAAGAAAACCGTATGGAGTAGTTCTGTAACACATGGACTAGATAGGGGTTTCCCCCCAAGTATAAAATTCATACCAGCTTTCAAAGACTTAGCAGGAAACAAGTAAACAATCTTAACAGTAATTTGTGTATTTACTGCATGCTTTGATAACAACTTGAATATATTGTTGCTGTTGCTGCTAAGCGCCATAGAGTAGGTTCTGATTTATAGTTGACTCTGGTACAGGGTTTCCAAAAAGCAGCTGGTGGATTTGAATCATCAACCGTGCGGTTACTAGTCCAGTGCTTATCCTACAGTGCCAAAATATATTGTTGTTGTTGAGTCGGTGGTATAGGGTTTTCCAAGGAGCTGCTGGTGAGCTTGAACCACTGACCTTGCAGTTCAAACTGACTTTGCATTCTAGCACATTAACCCACAGCACACCAGGACTCCCCCAAAGTATATTAGGTTGTATGAACTCCACTGAAATTAGTTTCACCTGTCTGACTATTTTTAGCACAACTACTAGAAAATAAAATGGCATAACTGGTTTGCAAATAAACAGAGCCAAAACAGAATGAAAATTTATCTGGGGACCTTAAAATGTACTTCTTTGGCCAGATAATTTATACAGTAATATGAGGGAGTTTCAAAAAGTTCATAGAAAAACTCAATTTTTCCGTGAAATTTTTTAAGCCTGCTTTATTAAAAGTAAACAAAAAGATAGTGACTATAACTCATTTCAAATACCCAGCGTTTACACCAGATGACGGAGTTCCTAAGTGGGACAAAGAGTTAGCATTTCACATGCTCAGCTACTAACCAAATGGTAGGAGGTCGAGCACGCCTCAGAAAAAAAGGCCACGTGATGTACTTTTGTAAAATCAGCCCTTAAGAAGCCTGTATTGAGCACAGTTCCATTTTGATATACACGGGGTCACCATGAGTCAGAATGAACTCCAGGACAACTGGTCCAGTTTGGGAGATGGTAACCTTTACACTTTCAGTGGCGTGTCTCGCCCTCCCTGCTTCATAGCTATGGAACTGAAGGCTTATATCAAAGTTGTAGGCAGGCACTTCTAACTGATGTCTCATCTAGTGGATACTCCCACCTGTAACAACCAAGAAATTCTAGGAGTTAAAATAATCTGCAATTCATAGTTTACTGGAAACAACAATTAGCATATTCTCATGTAATGGTTTAAATTCAAGTGTGTGCATTCTTGTTTTCTCTTAGCGATCAACATTAAAGCTAAACAAGACCTCCCAACAACTTTGCCACCCAACACATACACACATATGTAAATGACAATGTGGGAGGAAGACGCATTGGACAGGGTGTAAAATCCTCTGCTTTGGGAGACATTTTTATGGTAACCAACAGAGAAGGTGCCATAGCATTTACTCAAAAATCGATATTTGTTAGGCATCTGACAGATGCTACTCATTGGGCCCTCAGCATCCTGTAAAGGATTATGAATTCCCATCTCCTTGAATCTTCCTAACATCAGAAAAAGAATTGGTATAGTACCTTACAGGGAAGCAATGGAGGCCCAAATGACAAGCAACTTGACCTGAATCACACAAGTACCAATCAGGGGCAGAATAGGAACCAAATCCCAGTTGCAGAGGTCCTAACCCACTGTACCAGGCATATGCCCCATAATGTGCACATCACTATAGGGCAGAGAGAACATACAAATATTATCAGAGTAGGCCCTTCTCAGTACTGTTTATGATGTGAAATGCTCCTCCTTTGAGAACTGAGTGTCATTTACCTGGATTAATGAAGTCATGCTATCTGTTGATTAAATAAAGGAGCCTCTCTCAAACAGAAGGCCAAGACAATAGACTTCTTGGGTTTGTCCAGTATCTATCCAGAAGCCAGACAAACCAGTTGCCATCCTGGCGATTCAAACTCATGGCAACCCCCAAGTGTGTCAGAGTAGAACTGTGCTCCTATAGGGTTTTCAATGACTGATTTTTTTTTGGAAGTAGATCACCATGCAGTCCTTCCTTCCAAGGTACCTGTGGGTGGGCTGGAACCACCCACCTTTCCATTAGCAGACTGTAGGCTTTATCTTGTATGTTCCAACTTCAGAGACTGACAAGGACTATGCACAACCTAGGAAAAGCTTTGCTAGGCTTTTGTGTACAAATACCAGGAGACAAAGCAGCCTACCACTCCCACATAAAGAACGATAATTACTAACTACAGAATAGAATTCTTTTGTTGTCCAGCTCTTAATGAGTTTTGTAAAAACCATGTAGAATCAAAGTGCTGTACACTAAATGGTTTCAGCCAGACACATAACTAATCAAATTTAAGTTCACTCATTTTATTCAACACAGCTTGTTAAAGTGACAGGCATGCCAAGTTTCTCCAAATAAATCAATTTCAAGTTTAGATCCTTTTGGTGTTGCCATATTGATCACTACTTTTGAACCAGAAAAAATAAAAATAAAAATGAGGGGATGCGGAGGGGGGAGCGAATGGATAAACTGAAAATCAGGAAGAACTTGTTTAACAAAAGTGCCCCTATTAGAACAAACAATTCGTTATACAAGATTAGAACACAGGTTTGTATTTAGGTAATCTTGAAAACACAAAGCGAATGTTTAAAACCTTTTTGAAGGTTCGTTTTGCTTTTAATTTCTGAAAGTTATCAGTTTAGAGATGAATGACTAATCCCAGAAATGAGTATTTGAATATATTTCCCCCGGGATACACGATGCTAACATTTACTGTACTGTGATATTACTCAGAATTTTAATAAACCTTTACTTAGAGATTTATCTAGGTGATTGCTGGTGGTGTGGGCAGGCAGATAACACACATAGCTTCCACTGTATGGAACACATATAATCTCTTGCTGGTGAATTAAAATAAATTACTCCTATCTCCAAAGGGCCCTGCTCACTTACTTTCTAAATAAGTAGGACAACTGCTATTTTAGCCTTTAGTACTAACATAAAAAGTCTCATGTATTTATAAAAAATACTTACAAGGCCCCCAAACAATTATACAAACGCTGTTACTCCTTCATCCAAAATACTTCAGCAACACGAAAATAAAGACAACCTACGCCTCCAAGTCCTCATTTCAATCAGGTTTTCACACCAACGTCCGCCTAAAGGTCCCCGTATCCAAGTCTGGGGACTTCTACAAGATCTCACCCAAACAGAATGGGGAGAGGCAGCCACTGGCTCACCCTCCTGGGGCCTCCCTTGCTCGCCGCCTCCGGATGAGTCCTGGACGCGGCAGAGCCGACAGGGGCCAAGGGACCCAGCGCTTCGGCACGTTTTCCGGGTGCCGCAGTTTTCCAGCTTTACGCGCCAGGGCACCCAGATATGGGTAGCCTCCATGTCGGGCCCAGCACTGCTCTCCACAAAGGGGCGTCCGAAAAAGTCTCTCTCAAAACCCGAGGGCGCCTGGGACCGGAGGCCCACGGGGGCCCTGGTGGCCCCTCCGGCGTTCCCAACACTCAAGCCACCGGGGTACCCGCAGGGTAACCAGAACTCCTAGCAAAGAAAAACCTCGTACGGCCCGTACTGCCTTTGAGAAAACAAAGCCAAACCAAAGTGAAACAAGCTCCGCGCCCCGCCCGGCGAACCATTGGCACCGCCCGAGTGCGCGAGGCCCGGGTCGGCTCATCTCGGGGTCCCCGGAGATCCAGCCTGAGGATCTCGACACAGACCGTACCACCAGGCCTCCGGCCGCTCCGCCA